ACAACACATAATTAGGAGTTTAGGATTAATAGGAGGATGCATACTCCAAAAGCTGGAGAGAGACCCCACAGATATGTGGCCCTGTGGACTCTCTCTCTTCTTTTGATGAAATTGATTTTTGCAGGACTCCTCTGTGTCCAAGGTGGACACTGGCCTGTGTCAGTGTGACTTTCTGCACAGCTTAACTGCAAGTTAAGTCACAGTAGAAATTAGCATGTGAAATCTCTACAAAGGCTAATGTTGTAGAATCATAGAATGATTTGCGTTGGAAGGAACTTTAAAGACCAACTTAAACCATGGCACCATGCCACTATGGGCATGGACACCTTCCATCAGACCAGGTTGCCCAAAGCTCCATTCAACCTGGCTTTGAACGCTTTCCAGGGATGGAGCATCCATAGCTTCACTGGACACCCTGTTCCTGTGCCTCACCACCCTTACGGTAAACAATTTTGTTCTTATATCAAATCTATACCTGCCATCTATTAGTTTGAAGCCATTCCTCCTTGTCACTATACCCCTTTCTTGAAAGTTCTTCTCCAGCTCTCTAGCAGGCCTGTTTTAGGTACTGGAAGGTGCTGTAAGGGCCTTGCTATGGAGCCTTTTCTTCTCCAGTGTGAGAAACCCCAATTCTCTCAGGCTGTCCTCACAGGAGAGTTGGTCCATTCTGATTATTTTTGTCTCCCTCCTCCAGACTCATTCCACGGCATCCATGTCTTTCTTCCTCTCAGGGCCTCAGAGCAGGATACAGCGCTGCAGGTGGAGTCTTGGGAGTCCAGAGTAGAGTAGCAGAATCCTTTCCTTGCCTTACTAGCCACGCTGCTTTTTATGCAGCCCAGGACACAACTGTCTTTCTGGGCAGCAACTACATGTTGTTGGGTCATGTTGAGTTTCTCCTTCACCAGCGCCACTGGGTCATCTCCTTAGGGCTGCTCCCTATCCATTGTCCACCCAGCCTGTACTTGTGCTTGGGACTGCTGTGACCTACATACAGGACCTTGCTCTTGGCCTCGTTGAACTTCATGAGATTTGCATGGGTCCAGCTCTCATGCCTGACAAGATTCCTCTGGATGGCATCCCCTCCCTCAAGCGTTGTGTACCATATAGCTTGGTGTTTAAGGAATGTTTTTTGTTTAGCTTAAGTCAGTGAGTTTTAAACAGAATGGGTCACTCAGATTTACAGTACTGTGTGTTTTAATCTGCTGTTTGCTTGGCTCTACTGGATCAGCATGAGCAGCTGGATTTGCTGGAGCCCTGGTTTGCAAACTGTGAGCTTTCACCCAGATATGTTGGACCAGAGTTGGTTTGCTTGGTAGCTGGCACAGTTTTGTGTTTTGTCTTTAGTTTGGGAAGAAGATTAATAACACTGATGTTGAGTTGTTGCTAAGTGGTTTTTATCCCAAGTCTAGACCTTCTTTCATTACGATGTCCTGATTGATCTAGTGCACAAGAAACACAAAGCAGAAGACAAGGAGGCTGCAGCTATCAGCAGAAGCTACAACTCAACAAGATAAGAGCAGCTGACAGCCTGACTGTGGGGAGACAGAGAAAGAATCCAATAAGGTGTTAGGAAATCCCAGCCCAAAAATCACCATTGGACTTGAAATCACATGAAGAGTGCCTGAGGGCAGGTGCATAAAATCACGAGGGTCTAATTGCCCAGAGGTTTTTGTCTTCTGGGTCAGTTTAAGCTGATCTGTTGCTATATCACTCTATTAAATTATTTGTTTTTATACATCTGACACCTGAGACTCTGCTGCAGAAAACCCAGGACAAAGCCTGAAGGAGGAAGTGTACCCAAGAATGAGTGTGTGTGCAAGGATCTGAAAGGGAGCCCATTAGCCCCACTGGGAACAGACTCCAGTCCTAGCAGGGAAAGCCTGGTGGTGGGTGTGGCACTCCTTGAAGGTGAGAGAATTCTTGGGCTGTGGCTTCTCCTTTAACACTTTGTGTTGTTTACCGATGTGCTGAGAGTGCACTCAATCCTATTGTGCATATTGCTGATAAAGATGTTAAACAGTGGCAGCCCCAATACTGACCTCAGAGGAACATCACTGGTCACCAGGATCCACTTTGACAGCAAGCCATTGACTACAACAATATGTTGACTACCCAGACAATTCCTGTCCACCAAGTGGTCCATCCACTCAGCTCTTCTAAGTGGTTTCCTCTATCCCTAAAACATGCTTGTCAAAATACGTACACATAAACTTAGGAACAAAACTCAGCTACAGGATCTGAAGTCCATCCACTGAGAACAAACTTAGTGCTGAAGTCCCTCTCCTTAACTGTTAAGGTGCTTTTTTATGGGAAGGAAGGGGACATAGAGATCTTTTTAGCTATTTCTTACACACAAGACACAAAAGATACTATAAATAATTACATAAGAACTTCTTGCTGTAAATGTATATGACATACTGTTTTTACTAAAATTAGCTTGATCAAACCAGTTTAATGGGATTTTCGTATTTCTAGTCTTCAGTGAGGGATAAAAACCTTTCTATTTTCAGAAATGTAATTTATTATTTTTAATATATATATAAAACTTTCAAAATACATACTGGAACAATAATTTCTAATATAGCAGAAAAGATGACCAAACATGAGGAAACCAGGCTTCTGAAATATTATCTACATCAGAGTTATACTTTAGTAGCAAATTTCATCTTGCTTAAATGAAGCTGAGTCATGATGTTTGATTCATACAGTGTAAGTTGGATAGCTAAAACTGTTTGGATGATTCATGTCCTACAAATGGCTGAAGCTAGATGAGATGAATCCAGACTGAATGCCTAAACTGAAAAAAGTGGCATGCCCTCAACTCAAGTCTGTTTTAGTTCTTGGTATGTTTAAAGTTTGTAGACACTGTATTTCCAACATTAACTTAGGGCAAAATTCCCCTAAGCACACAAAGACCTCAGCAGTGACCATGCATAGCATGCCACACCTATGACTGCTTTAGAAATTTCAGCAAGGTTTTCTGTCCCTTCCTTATCTTTGGAGTCATAATTTGCTGTTGGTTTAACTCCACAGCTTAACCCACATTGTCCAGGATTTAGTATGATGTGGGTCAGTGCACAATTTTTGCTGCCAGGAAATCATCCACATGGAGAGCAAAGAAAGTATTAAGTATGGAAAAAACTTTTAGCCTGTACATGAAGCTTTGTGTTTGCTACAGTAATTCCACATGATTGAAGCCAAGACAAGGAGTAACCGTGCATCTGAGTGATTACGTCATTTTCTCTCTGTGAGAAAATATTCATAGGCAAAATAGTCTCAGTATGTGGTTAGAGATGGCTTCCACCTTGGAAAGTTCCTTCTTGCCTGGTTATATGGATGCTGTCTTAGGAGACCTTCCTGGGCAGAAAGGGGAATTCAAGGGAGGTGAAAGCTCATACCACTGACCTACTGGTTAAAGCAGCAGCGCCAGTGCATTTAGGCTTTTAAGAGAAAAGATGTAGCTGTCTAAATCCATTAGAGAGTTCAGACAGGGCATCCTGAGTATGAGGAAGTACCTGAAAGCACATCAGCAAAGACACTGAAAGGCTGAATTTGATATGGTTTTCTCACTGGTACTTTCTCAAGTGCCCTGCTCAGTTTGTAGCTGGAGGCATGTAATGCCCCAGTGAGTGTACCAACAGCCCAGTATCCAGTGTGCTTTTGGGAATTTCTAGAGGTCCTGAAAAGCTAGAATTAAAATAGATATTTCTTTTTAATTTAAAAAGCATGTAAAATTAATTGCATTAACAATAAAATTCAATTCAAATGTAAAACACTTCAGCCTCTAACAGAGGTTAGATTTTCTCAGTATATTTAAGTATACTAGAAACATTCTCCTACTCAAAGAGAGCTACTTGGCAATTAGAAGAAACACATTAAACTTTTAAGATCAACATGGACTTTATTAAAATACTTATTATGTCTTACAAATCCAGTAATGTACACTTTTTCATGTAAAAACTACTTTTTCTTCCTTTACCATGGTGCTGATATTAATTTATGCTTGCTTTTCAGATATTGTTCAGAAATGCCTTGCTTTCTTTCTTTTAGCTGAACTGGCAGGTGCAGTGCTTTTGTCATTTAATTATCATTGCTCATGGAAAATTCAGAAATGGCCTGAAGGCTGAAAATGTGTCGCTGTTTTGTGTTCTAATTTAAGAACAAAAATAGTGGAGAATATGGACAAAACCCTAATAGTGAGAGGTCAGATTTCCAAAGAAATTTTGGTGCCTAGAGATGGAGACAGATGACCAGTGGGAGTTTCAAAATCCCTCCTACAGATTAAAAGTCTAACTCCTATTGACTTCAGGGTAAATGAGGCAGTAGCCCCTATAGGCACTTCGGATAATTTCACTAGCCATTTATCTGCATGTTAGACATCTAAGTATTAGATTGGAGACAAGAAGTAATCCCTCAGTTCACTAAATGTATCCCCTTCTTTCATTTAGTAATCTGGCTAGTTTTAAATAAACTTCCTGCTTACAGGGAAATAAAGGGATGCCATATGTTTAAGACAGTTAAATACAATTAATTTTAAATCAGTTTTATGCCTTTAAATTTATTTTTAATTTCTCCCCCAATGCATTTTGATCCAAACTCCAAATAAAAGGATCATTTAGGAAAGAGAAGTGTTTTGTCATTTTTGTGGGATAATATGTATGTAAAATGTAAAAGTCTCACAAAGTAGAATGACTGTCACACTCTCATTGTGTATATTTATACGATAAAATAAAAAAAATACATTGAAATATAGCATATGTACCTTGCACATATAATTACAAATCAGCTTGTGTTAATTATTGTGCCAGTCAGAGAAAACAAAGTTGGTACTAAGTACAAGTGCGAAGAAGATTGAAAATTAGCTATTTAATTTTAGGTTTCCTTATCACTGTTTTTAATACTGATTGTAATTGGAAGAATATGAGTACGTAAAGACTAACAAGAATATAAAATATAGCTGTGGAATACAGTCATAATCTCTTAAATCTGTTTTTTTCCAGAATGACAAGAAATGTTGTACCTTGTCCTCCTGATTATTGGACCAGACCTATGAAGATTTCTGTGCCATAATTAATGCAAACATAACACAATGTAAGTGACCTGTTTTTTGAATTTGTGTTTACCCTTAACTCTGTTCCAGCTTATTACAGGTAACATGCGCTGGTAACAACCCATCTTTAATCTTTTTAATCTTTGTGTTACACAAGTAATAAGACTGGGACCTCTGAATACTTAAGTCCTTGATTTTTCAGAACCCTTAACACATTGCTCCTCTGTGTAAATCTGGCAAATAAAATAGAGGAAAAACAACTCTGCTTAAGGAAAGGGAAGAAGACAGCCTGAATCTCATACCATCAAGCAGAAAAGGGCATATACATGATGAAGCTTGTATGTATTATCACTGTGCTCTGCAAAAGCTTTTCTTAAAATTGCAGGGAATGTAGATCAAATCATGTTGTAAAATAGGAGAAGAAAAATAACGTTTGCTTCTTTCCACTGACACTCAGGCCAAAACATTTTATCTCTTGGTTTTCTAAATCCTATTGCATCTTGCTGAGAAAACTGGGAAGAGCAGGGAAAGGCAGGGAGCTAAATTTTCTTAGTGAGTGCATGAATAGCAAGACCTGTGTGCATAACTTTTCTTCGCCACTTGGAAAATTGCCTCCTACTGCATTTGTTTGAGGCTTGAAGAAAAACCTTTTTTATCTCTAAAGGTTATATAAGGCCTAAACTAGTATTTAATGGTATGGAAACAATAATGTGACATCCTTCCAGTAAATACAGCTTTGTGGTGTTCAGCATGTTTTACAGTAATGGCGTTACTTAGTCATTTATTGGTGTTGTGAACAGCTTGAACGGAAGGAAAAAAACTGCAAACAAAACTAAACAGGTGCACTTAGAGGAGCTGCCTTGTCTGAGAATTGAGAAATATGATCAGTTTTACTATACAAACTTCTAGCTGAATATGACAGGGCTTGCTTGGCTTGATCTCCTCCATGCCAGATTTGGTTTCATATATAAATGCTTGAGCGTTTATTTACCCTAAACCATTTCATTAGAATTAGTGGCTGCTCCAACATTTGCTAATTTGCTTTATTTAATTATGAAGTCATTGTTTAGCCCCATTTGTCCTCCATCAATCCCTATTCCCTCTGCACAAGGGAGTGTGTGGGCCACAAACGGCCCTTTTGGTTTTCTCTGAGCTAACAGAAGAACAAGAGGGACCTTAGAGCTGCCCTCACTTGCCAGGGTATCAGTAACTAGCAAACAGCCACTAGAATTTTGGAAGCTTCTGCTGTTTTAATTTTAATTTGGTGTTGCATCAGCCTAAAAGCAGAGGAAGTAGAGCTCAGGGAAGCCTGGCCAAATTTGCAGGAGTTTGAAACATTTGTAGGAGGAAAAGGAGCACTCAGTTCTTTCCTGCACATGAACACAGAGCAGACTTAATCTTATCATGCAAGACCTCTTCTCTACTCAACAGCTGCCAGCATGATGAAAACAAGGTGCTCTTCTCTTAGACATAGGTTTTTGTGTGTAGGCCAGATTTTCTGAAGTTTCTAGCAAGCAAGTTTCCATACCTGGGACCTGCTGTTGTGCTTTGGTGGGGGTTAATCCATATCACTGTAGCAGTCCTGGGATGTGAGATGATCTGTCTCAGGGAATCTGATAGACTTTCACCTCCTGGAGGCTTTCCTGAGGCTCTTGGGGGGGTCTCTGCTTCAAGAACTAGTGTTGCTGTTGATGTGCCAGTGCTATATGTACTGAGGGAAGATCTTATCTCTGTCAGCTCCCAGGCACCATCTGTGAGATGTAGCACAAATGGAACATAATGTCTTCTCACACATTTTAAAATAAGAGACCAACAACTCAAATTTTCTCTCTCATGTCCCAAGGAAGAGCTTGTGTGTTAAAAGCTCCAGTATAAAGTTTCTGGATTATGAAGTATGTATTATTTATTATTTTCATGCTTGCAACAGTTTGACAGAAGAGAAGAGGAGATGACAACTGAAGGGAATAAAGAAACGAGAAGAGGTACATTAAAAGATCGTGAGGAGCACTTTGTCAGCTTGTTCCTGCTTGTATACTGCCTTGATTAGATGAAATACATGTGTACATTTATTCCATGCCAGAAGTAAATGATGGTGATACATAAAGATTTTACAAATGCAACTTGGAAGTAAAGTAACTATTCAGAGGTGAAAATGTGAGCAATTATATAAACCATGTGCCTTACTGTCACCTGTTTTGTGCTTTCCACTTGTGTTTAATGGAAAATAGCTATTGAAATGTTTTGAAAGTATTTTGATAGCATTTAATGGGGAAATTTTTGCCCCTCCTCCTCCACCCAGCACAAGATACTAGTAAGTGCAAATTCAGGTAAAAGTGGAATCAGGTCAGTGTCTTATCTGGCTCATGGAAGCTTTCTTCCACAGAACAATGTCTTAAGACTTCTTATGTCTAATAATAATAACAACTAACATTATGCTCCTCTGGAAAGAGTTTTTCCCTTTGGAAGGAGGGGAAACACCTGCTGCATTTTACTAAGATAACTTCTTTGAAAACAGTGGCATTCTTCATCTGTTCCATTTTGGCAATCCCCAAGCAGCCAGCTCTCTTTGGGTGAGGGCTCCTTGCAAAAAGAGAGAAAAAGGAAATCAATTCAGTAAAGCTTGAGAGATGGAGAGGTAACAATAGGCAGTCTTCTAGGGACAGATCCCTCTTTGGAGTAAAATGCCTCAGCTTTTCCAGATTTACAACAGTTTAAACCAGAAAGAAACTCCCGTTTGAGCACTATACTGCTCCCTTTGGGAATAAGAATAGACCATTTCAACACAGATATTGGAGGAGATGTACAATCTTTGCTTCTATTTATAAAGTGTAAAAAGAGGCAATCTCTTCAAATTGTGGGAGTTTATCTTGAAGTTTATATGATATTCTTTCATAAATTGCTGTTGTAGCAAGAAATTGAAGTCATTTATCAGCAGGTATTGGAGATGTTACAATGATGCATTATGATACATTTAGCTACCAATATTTAGCTATCAATATGATACATTTATCATCAATATCTAGCCAATACTACCAATGATTTAGCAGGAGAGGTTAGATGAAAATACTCTGATGTATCATTAGGGAGACAGAGTGTCTGGAATGAAACACTCAAGTATCATTTATATTTCTTCTGCTACTGTGTCCCAAAATTGCATCACTGCAGACCAGGGGGAATTTTAGGAGTGTGTCTTCCCTTTACAGGTAGGAAGTTTTGCCTTCTTACACAGAAGTTTGCACAGTTCTGATTCCTGATATTACCAACATCCAGCTAAGTCATGATATAACTTAAAATAATGTGATTTGAGCATACACAGCCTATTTCATTACTTGTGTTATTAATTATTGTCAGACAAAGGGAGGTAAATATTTCAGGTTTACATTTTGAGGTTTTTTTGTCCAGCCAATTTTCAAAAGTATCAATGACCATAAAAACAAGTTGATAAAGGAATTAGCACTCCAAATCCTGAGTATAGAGCACTCAAAAAGAGGTGCTCAAACAAATGTCAGAATATGTTGGATAAAATGGACTCAGGTAGGCTGCCTGTCACATGGGTAGTCATTTCTCTCACAAGCGAGCTGAAGTATAAAATCTTAAAATCACAGAATGGTTTGGGTTGGAAGGGACCTTTAAAGGTCATTTACTCGAGTCAACAATGAGCAGGGACATCTCCAACTAAATCAGCTTGATCAGAACCTAGTCAAACCTGACCTTGAAGGGTCTCAGGGATGGGGCATCTACCCTTCCACATCCTCTTTCACATTTTTCTCAGCATTTCAGCTCATGGCTGAATAGTAAGCTATTGAGGACAGTTAGCTATCCATGAGTGTATCATTTTGTAATTGAGTATTGGATAGCAAAAAGTAGGCAGCCATGAGTAGAAGTTGTAAGTAGCACTCCTGCTCTCTGGAAATGAGCAGTTCAGTTTAGTGAGGACAGTCACAGAAAGAAATAGATCCTTGTATGACACTGGAGAAAATCATTGGCTCAAAACCACTGGCATGTGTGTGTGTGTGTCTGCACAGGGAAGTGGGAGGTAGGGCAGAGCAAGTTCTGTGAAGGTGGAATGGTGCACTGCTCCACACCCCGCATCCCTGGAGCCTCCAGTCCAGCCCAGAATGGCTGTCAGTCTCTGGCACAGTGGAAGCAATGCCCCGCACCCTGCCCCAGGAGACCAAATCTGGGGGTGGTGGGTGGCCAGACCAGATAAAAAATATTGTGCAGATATGCACACAGCTGCCTTGCTATTGTCCCTGGATTTTGAGACAGCTGAGACCATGCTGGATCCAAGGTGGATCCTACATCCTGGTTTTCTCTTTCTTTTTTTGTTTTTTTCCTTTTCTTCTCCTAATTTCCTTTACTTGAAATCTAGGTAATTTAAGGTTGGATGGGTTAGAGTTTGTTAACGCAATGTTTTGTGAAATACTTTTTTCCGATTGAATGTTTGTTTTAAATTTTGCAAGGTTCTGGATCTTCTAAAGATTGCCAGTAAAGTTTGTTTTTTAACCTCCTGAGAATTTTTGTCAAGTTGTCTTTTGTGCCACCTCAGGGAAAAGTAGTACCTTATGCCACTTTTAAATACTCAGTGCTCAATGAGGGCTGGGGCTTTACACCCCTAATTGCACTAAAGACTTTGAGGTGTTAGAGCATGTCCAGAGAAGAGCAGCAAAGCTCGTGAAGGGTCTAGACAAGTAAGTTATATGAGACGCAGCTGAAAGATCTGGGTTTCTTTAGCCTGGAAAAGAGGAGACTCAGGGGAGACGTGATCATTCTCTACAACTGCCTGAAAGGAGGGTGTAGCCACATGGGGATTAGCTTCTTCTCACAAATTTGTGTGCAAACAGGCAACAGAGCCAGAGGAAATTGGCTTCAAATTGAATCAGGGGAGGTGTAGTTATCAGATATCAGAAAAAATTTCTTCATTTTCAGGCTGCCCAGGAAGTGTTTAAAAATAATGTAGATGTGTTTAGGAACATGGTTTAGTGGTGGACCTGGTAGTGTTAGGTAAATGATTGGACCTGATTATCTTAGAGGTCTATCCCAACCTTAATCATTCAGTAACTCTCTGATTCTATATTTCAATTATGTGTACACATATTAAGACTGCAGCAGGTTATGTGGCAGTACAGCTGTGTCCCACTGAAGACAGTAAAAACATTCTTGTTCACATTAATGCTTGTCCCTATTATCATTTGACATCCCTAATAGCCATTCAACATCACACATCACCACGATTCCCAGAACAGAAACTCTGAAACAGGTTTTCCTCTAATGTATTTTTAATTAATTATGCTGAAGAGAAGAGAATGTATTTTCAGTAAGTTTATTCAGAGTCCTCCAAAATCTCTGTTCAGTCCCAAAGTCTCTGAGCACCTGATTTTGATTACATGCAGCTTTATTAATTAACAGTGGACAGACAGTAACTTTCTGTAGTCATAAAAACAATTCAGATATGCAAACCTCAAAAAGATTATGAGAATCTCAGAATGAGCTGAGTAAGTAATGTGAAACCTAATCAAATAAGTAATGAAAGTGTAAGGAAAAAGCGTGTATCTCAGGGAAGTTCTAAACTAAAAAATGGCTGTGCTTATCAAAAGAAGGCAAGGTTTTTGTATGTATCTGAATCCTGATGATAATCAGGAAGAAAATAAAATGCCATCATATTTTTTTTAGCATAATAAATACTTTCCCTGCTCTGGAATGCTGTCCTCAGTTCTACTTGCTGAATCTAAAGACACATTTGCAGAATTAGGCTAGGTCTGTACTGCACCAGAAAAAAAGAGCAGAAGGCAGCCCAGAGCAGGGACCCCAGCAGCTGATTTTTCTCCCAGCCTCCAGTAATACCACTGTGCCTGCATGTGTTCAGGCTTAGCTTTTCACTGCACTCAAGGCAGAATGAGCTGCAGCTGAATCCTACCCTGTGGCATTATCCAAGTCCAATCTTATGTCCAAACAATGGAAAGGTGAAGTAGATTTGACTCAGGCTCAAGGCTGGACATGGGATCAATGTGGCAGTGTTGGTAGAGCCCTGGAGAATGAAAATCATTAGAAGAAAATGCAGGCAGTGAAAAACCCTTGCATGCAGATAAAAGATCAAGGGATTTTGTTTCTTTTCTTTTCTATGAAAAAAGGACGTGATAAAAATATTTAAATTACAAATGGCCTGTACAAGATGTTTTACTTTCTGTCTTACAGCACAAATACTACAGGGCATGGAAATAAGTAGACAGCAAATTCAGAATAGTGAAAGTTGTTGTTTTTTTTTTTAACCTGGCAATTAGCTAAACGGTCAATGTCACAGGATATCAGTGAAAGCAGAACTCAGTGGAAGAATTAGCTTCTGCTTTGAAAAACTGAATGCAACGTGTTGATGCCAAAGAGCTTTGGAAGAGACATGAATTTTGAGATTTGAGGATTAAGCTAGTCTCTGGATACTAAATACCAGCAGTTAATTCACAAATTACTTTCACAAGGGGTACATAAGCCTGCATGTTCCTCCTGTTCATATTACCTTCCAAAGCAGATGCCTTTATGGACAGGGCACCCTAGTTTAGACTGGTAGTTATCATAATTGTTGCTTCTCTCATAGTTTAAATTGTTTTTAAACATTGGAAAGGAGTGCTAGTTTGATGTTAAAAGCAAAGGACAAATTGTGGTAGCTGCACATTATGAGTCATGAAGAAGTGACTAGAGGTGTGTTCACTTTACCATGATTCATTACATACACTTGATAGGTATGAGTATTTAGAGCAACACCAGAAACAAGATGCCCAGCTGTTTAAAACTTTATTCAAGAAAAGCAGCTCTTTGTGCTACCAGACACTGATTCCACAGATGAAAATTATTGAATCAGGCTGAAAAATCTCACATAACATTTTATGTTGACCTGACACTTGGTAGAGGAACGTTTTGATGAAATGTCAAAGATAGTCTTCTGATGCTGGATTAAAAATTTTGGGAAACAGGAACGAAGCAAGAGAGCTGCAACAAAGGCCAGGGAGCACAATATGGCTTCCTTGCATTTGCATCCTGGGCTCTCATTAAAAGAAAGCACAGAGAAAGCAGTGACATGGTTTTGTTATACTTTCAGGGTATGAACCTACAAAGTGTCCTTGGGTCTCCCTGCTTATACAGAACTGTTTTCTTCCACCAATGAGCAAACGCCATATTTAAATGGGTGCTTTCAACCGTGGGCAAGGCTGTGGGTCACCATCCATGTGGCGTTGACAGAGCAAAATTAATTCAGTTTGACATTCTCTTATGATAACCTTGGTTTTGAGTTAAGATAAGGGTTGACTTTATTTTAAGAGAACTTCTGATCAGATTAAATTGTTTTTAGTGTAATTGCAAAAGCA